CCGGCTAATTTTTTTGTATTTTTAGTAGAGACGGGGTTTCATATGACATATGTCAGCCAGGATGTTCTCGATATCCTGACCTCATGATCTGCCCACCTCGGCCTCCCAAAGTCCTGGGATTACAGGCGCGAGCCACCGTGCCTAGCCAGCTCTATGTGTTTTTAGAGGCAGTAACTCAGAGTGGTTCAATAAAAGGGAAAAAGAAAGAGATGTAAACGGAGGATTTAATAGGAAGTGATTTTGGATGGTAAGTGAAAACAGTACTTTCTGAAATTTATGTTAATTATGATTGGAATGTGTAATATAAGTATTAGCTACCTGTGGAAATAATACAGCTTAAGAGATGGTCTGTAAATGTGCCGAAATTGAGGAAAACAGAAAGGTCCCCATAGGTGGAAGGTTTTTTAGGCTCTGTTCTAACCCATGTGAACAGCTCTCCTGGGCCATGCCCCTCACTCTGATCTTGTTCGCTAAGGTCTGAGACGTGGGTAAAAGCAAGCCATCATGCAAAGGAAAGGGAACACTCAGGTCACTGAGGTGAGCAATATAGCCCATACTCTACTATAAACTACAAACTGCGATTCCACTTTACCACTCTAGTGGGTTTTAGTACAGTTAGAATAAAACAGGTTTCTAGCACTAGATTACCCATTAGGTAAATGAGTAAGAATCAAGTTTTTGAACTATGTAAATGAGTTCCAGGCCTCTACTAATCTTCTGAGAGATATGTAGATAATTCAAGGGACATACAGACTAGGCAATGAGACACCCTCTTAAATCACTTAAACACGTTAGAAAAAAGAAAGCATATAAGTCAGTATTTACACTCTCTCTTTAAGAATACAAATTATATGAGAGATGAATCAGCTCTGTAGTAATTTCAAAACTTTCTCCTCCTTTGGAAGACAGGAGGGAAAGACGGGGACTTTTAAAGTAAAGCACCAGGCCTAGTCATTCAAAGTTGATATTCTACCCTTTAACAGAAAAATGAAACATCAATCTCAAATAATCTCATTTATTCCCAAACTTCCTGAAAAGTCCTGACATAAACCTATGAATATGTAAACTAAAAAAATAAAAATATCCACTTTCAAATGTATTAAAGCTGCTGCAATAAAAATTACTACCAGTATTTTTTTCCTAACTGTTTAGGAGCTGCCTCTTCTCTGTGTAAGGTAGAGCCAGGCAAACTGCTGTGAAATGCTTCTACAAGATCACTGGAGACTGATGAATGACATTATAGGATATCCCACAGGTTTCTTCTGAGTTTTTTTTTTCTTTCTTGAGATGGAGTTTTGCTCTGTCACCTACGCTGGAGTGCAGGGGTGCGATCTCGGCTCACCACAAGCTCTGCCTCCCGGGTTCACACCATTCTCCTGCCTCAGCCACTCGAGTAGCTGGGACTACAGGTGCCCGCCACTACGCCCGGCTAATTTTTTTGTATTTTTAGTAGAGACGGAGTTTCACCGTATTAGCCAGGATGGTCTTGATCTCCTGACCTCATGATCCGCCCGCCTTGGCCTGCCAAAGTGCTGGGATTACAGGCGTGAGCCACCGCGCCCAGCCCTTCTTCTGAGTTTTTTTTTTACAGTGCTCATCTTATTCCTTCAACATTATAGGGTAATTCAGAGAGATTCCCCTTCTCTCCAGTTAATTATTTCTTCATTCTTATCATGTTTTGGAATTGAAGCCATGATAAAAAAAAATGACAAATATAATGTATTTTGAAAGTTAGAAACTTACTTCATCAAAGTGTGATTTTATTTTATTATTGCTTTTAAATAGACAAAGCCTCACTCTATTCCTCAGGCTGGAATGCAGTGGTGTTATCATAGGTTACTGAAGCACTGAACACTTGGGTTCAAGTGACTCTCCTGCCTCAGCTTCCTGAGTAGCTAACTACAAGCGCCCACCATTGCTTAGTATCAAGCAATATCAGCGCTTGATATTAAGATATATTCACTAGATCTTGCAAATTCAAGTGACAATACATTGCTATTTTAATGCCTTTGACATTTAATACTTGACCTAGGGCAAAGCACCATGTATTTGGGTGTCAGAAGGGAGCACGGGGCTGAGTTCCAACTCTACTTGTTATTTGTTATGTGTGTCTGAACATGTTATTTGAACTTCAGCTCTTTCATCAATAAAACATGCAATTAGCACTTGTCTTACCAAACTATGATGAAAGATTTGGGCAAATAATTCAAAGTGTAAACAGCCAAACATAAAAATGTACAACTTCATTAATAATCACAGAACCAAATTAATATATGCTGCCGTTTATGAAATGTGAAAACAATAAAGCAGAGTCAGTACATACTGGGACTGTGAATCAAAGATTTTGGCAAAATGTACCATGGACCTTATTAACAGTCATATCCTTTAACCTACTAATTCCCTTCTAAGGACTCATGCCAAGGCAGGAATTAAAATTGCTTACAAGATGGCTCAATAAAGTAAAAAGATATGACCTAAATGTTCTGCAGTAGGGTAAATATATTATTATATATTCATAAAATATAAGAGTATGATCATTGAATTATATTAATGAAATTTTTAATGGGATGAAAAAATTTTTACTATGACCAATAAGTGAAATATATACAGTAAGATTTCACCTACATTAAAACTCTGTAAGAGGCTGAGTGTGGTGGCTCATGCCTGTAATCCTAGCACTTGAGGAGGCCAGGGCGGATGGATCACTTGAGGTCAGGAGTTTGAGAC